CCCTCCTCCATGACCGCCGCCAGCCCCGCCTCCCCACGCCCCCTACGTGTGCGTGAGTGCGTGTGCGCGCGTGGGCCCCGCGGCCGGACACCCCGCGTTTCACAGCGGAGACAAAGACAGGGGGCCGGGTCTGCCCTTCCCAGCGTTTTCCAGCCACTGTCTTGTCTGCACAGAGCATAAGGACGCAGCCGCGGGCGGGTTTGCATCGCAGCTCGTCCGGCGGTTGTCATCATCGGGTTGCAAACTTGACACCATCCAATCTCCTGTGTTTCGGGGCTCTAATTTAGATTCTGCCTTCATCTTCATCCTGCTTTGTTAATGCAGCGAGTGTATTAGACTAAAGCCCATAAAAAAAACTTAAATTTTAAGTCAATTTCACATGATTTTTGTTCTCTGTTTCACACAAAACAACATGAATTGCAACGCCCGGGTTATTCATGTGTCATCATCACATACAATTCTCCTATGAAAGACCTGTTCCTCTAGGGCCTTCGGGTACGATCCCACAAAGCGGCCCTTGGCCTTCGCACTAGAGATTCCTTTTTGGGATAGGATTCTCACCAGTGGGTATTTTAGAGAAGTATTTTGCTGGGAATTTTTCTTTTCTCTTTTATTTTTTTATATAGCATAATAAAGCGGGTATTTTTATCCAGTGGCAGATTTGGCATAGTGAAGACTGTGTTTTAGTTAGCATTTTAGGATCTAGCATATAACAGGTGTTCTCTGAATGTCTTGAGGCAATGCTTTAGGGCAGCGGTTCCCAATCCATGATACCAGGTACCACCAGTGGTATGCAGACAACCTGTCAGTGGTACACATTAACAGATTGATTATAATGACTTTATATGACAAAAAATTAGTGGTGGTATTTAAGATTGAACTGAAAAATTTGCTGGTGGTACTTAAGGTTGTATCATTTTAAGTTAGTGGTGTGCAGTCTGTCAGAGTTTGGGAACTCTGCGGGGTTTTTGACCCAGGGCGGGTGTTTTGAGTGGGGATTTTGACCCAGAGCGGGGGTTTTGACTCAGGGAGATCCTGGGGTCAAAAAACCCATGCAGAAAAATGCGGGGCAGCACATGTGGTGGCAGCATCCACAGCCCAAAACCAGAGCCTGGCCAGCCAGAGCCACAGTCCAGCTGTTGGCTAGGTTTCCAGCTGCAGGATTGCCACAGCTGCAGCTTCCTCAACTCCCAGGGCCCACAGGTGAGGTTGCTGGCCCCAGCCTTCCCTACCCCCCAGGGTGACCCACAGCACACTACAGCGCACATGGCACAGGTATTCCCCAGGGACAAGCAGCAGGCACACCATGAGCTACTGCTGCTTTGTCCCCAGGTAACCAATGTCTGTGCTTGTCTGGACACAGCCCAAGGTTGTATTCTGGTGATGTTCTGAGGTTGAGTGAAAGCCGTTTTTCTACAGTGCACTATATAGCATTTTGAACACATTTTGAGTAATGAGTTGCAAATGTCTCTGAAAGGGTCATTGTGTTTGGTACACTGTGAGAAGCAACATTGCTCTGGAGGAGGGCATAGACATGGTGCTTTTGAGGGTATAGTGTGATAGAACTGTCTCGGGGAGCAGCAGTGTATCTGAGAGCATGCATTTGATTTATCTCAGAGCTTTTGGACTGTTGCGTAACGGAGCAGTTTGGACAACTAGAGTGCCAGCTTTTTAGCTTAGTGGGGAGTTTGTCTGGAGTGGTAGGTCTCAGGGCACAACACTGCAGGAACCGAGTCTGGAGGAGGAAAGATGTTGCTGCAATATGAGCATTGCAGAGTGAGACAGCTTGGGAGTGACAGACAGCTTGTAGAAAAGGCCTAGGTGGCAGAGCTGGGGTCCGAGGGCTCTGCTTGGAGGACACAGGGAAAGGGGAAAAGCTTGGGGGGAACTTGCTCAGCAGACGCAATGCGGTTTGGGAACTGCTGGGATGCATTACATTTGGAAGTGCTTTAGTTTATGAAAGAGTTTTATGGATAAGAAGTGAGGTTTGGGTTTAGGGTGGAGAATTTTCACTGGGCAGCCTGCAACATCCTCACTACCACCAAGGGCAGGCAGCGCAACAGCGCGTGCGGGCGCTAGCGAAGAGGGGAAGGGCGGGAGAGAGGGGAAAGCTCCTATTGGCTGAATCGGAGCCAATAGGATCGTTCCGTTTCGCGCGGACAGTTGGGAGCTGAACAAACCACTCCCGAGCCGTTGACACGCCGCGCGCGTGTAGCGTCCATAGCACCCCCCCCCAAAGCCCGCCTCCATGAGCATGGCAACCAATGAGCAGGCGGGGTGTAGAGCCCTGCCACCTGTGATTGGACAATTTCGTTGCGTTCTGTCTCGGGGGCAGAGCGGCAAGTGCAAGGCGGCTCCAGGAGGGTCAGTGCGGGCGTGGGCCCGCCGGCGGGAGGGGTCGGGTGCTTCCTTGTATGTTCAAGCGCCGGCTTTTGCCCCGCTGGGCTTGTCCCGGGGCAGGCGGGACGCTTGGGTTCTGCGCACTGCCGCCCGGCTGTGGCCGCGGGGCGGGACGGCGGCTTTCCCGGGCGCCCCGTGTGCCGCTCTCTGAGGCTGTGGAGGGGGCTTCCTCCGCCGCCCGTGGGATGCTGTTATCAGCATCTCGATTATTTCGCTCTCGGGAGCCTCGATTTTAATTACTTCCACCCAGTCACTGCTAAGTGCGTCGTCTTGCAGCTCCTTATATAACCCTTCCTCCTCCTGCAATGCTTGTAGATAATTGCGGTTTTCTCCCACGCCTCTTGCTGTTACTTAGCCAGACCCTGCCTCCTGCTTCAAACTATTCACCGCAGTAATGTGTTCATTGAATGATCTTAATGCAAACTATTCATCTCCTGTATAGAATATAAAGGTAACAAACGTCTACATAAGCTCTTCCAGCCTAACGCAACAGAAGGGGAAAAGTCATACACTGACAACCTAGCAATTTATTAAATATTTAAAATGTTTACTTATACTCACTCTTTTGTTAACCACCAGCATGAAGGTAGTACTTGTCTTAAATAGACGGACAACTAAAATTGGCCAGCGATCACCTTTACTACACTTGAAGTAAAGGTTGGAATAAATTTTCAAGCAGGAAACACACTCTTGCTAGAGCAAAATGTCATGGCCCCCCAACCCCCCCCCCCCCCCCCTCCCTTCTTTTCTTTTTTTTTCATTTT